TTTTCAACGATGACGCGATAGTTGCCGTAGTCCTCTCGAGTCGCGTTAGTAATAGTCAAAGTGGCAAACTTATCATCGGTGGTGATGGTGTAGCGGCCTCCACTTTCTATCTTCTCGTCTTCCTTCATCCACCTTGACTCGGCTCGAGGATATGCCTTATAAGGCATTTTCAACTCGATTGTCTCATTCTTTTGTGCCTCATAACCACCATGGTATTTCGGTGGCACAAACACTCGAGGTTTCTGTTTAAGGACCAACTGTGCTCTTGTGCTTCTCGAGCCGAATTTGTTTGTTGCGCGGCAGGCGTATTCGCCAACGTCGTCCGTGTTGATGTGGCTAACCATGAGCACTTGTACATCTCCTTTGCTGAGGATTGTGAACCTTGGTGTGTCGACCAGCTCTTTCAAACCCTTGAACCATGTGTATTCTGGTCGGGGTGTGCCCTTGATCTCACATTCGAACGTTACGCTTCGTCCTGGCTCTCCGGACTGATCGCTGAGCTCAGAGACTATCTCAGGTGGTGTACCACCCAAGGCTGAGTTGAACACCATTGGCTCCCTGAAAGAAAGAACAATATAAAAGTCAGCACATTTGTAATGCTGTAGGTGAACTCACATCATAACAGGCTCTGACAACCCAGCATCATTGACAGCAAGAACGCGGAATGTATACTTTCGTCCATCGATGAGATTTGGAACGTTGAAAATGTTTGCCGGTGATGGGTTCTGGTTGCATCGTATCCAAGCATCCGTGCCTTCCTCGCATTTCTCGATATAGTATCCTCTCAGGCGACCTCCACCGTCGGACGCTGGTCGTTTCCACGTGAGCGACACGAAATCGCCGCCGATCTGAGTCACTTCAAGGTCTGTCGGTGGACCAGGAGGATCGAATGGAAGCCTTGTAGTTACAGGATTCTCGCCCACCAAGGGTGTTCCTTGACCATTTTCATTCACAGCGCTTACACGGAACTCGTATTCGTGGTTGTCAAACAGTCCTTGTACCATGAAGTT